CCCCAAAACCCCAAAACCCCAAAACCCCAAAACCCCGTATTTCAAGTGCATTTTTGAATTATATTATAAATAATCAAGTATTCATTAGCTCCAATATGGGAAATTGTTCTTTCAAAGAAGATAGAGATGGTGAAGAAGTTTCATGCAAAGGTAAGAGAATAATTCCACCATATAAGGCTGCTTGGCTGATGAAGTAGAGAAGTATGAGCTATCTTTGCTATGTAATTTTAAAAAGAAACGGAATATTCAAATAAGCCTCACAAAAAGTCTCACAAAATTTTCATATGTTTCAAAGTCTCTCTCTACTTTTATTAATTTAGACCCACTTTTATTTCTCAATAAATTGTCCACCTATCATGATCTTAGCCATACTAATCTCTCAAAACTCTAAAATATCTCTAAAAGTATATAAAAGCCTAAATTTTTAAAATAAAGCATCCAATATCTGGTAATCTCTACTTCTCATAAATTTTGGTATGCTTTTCTGATAATTTTATCAATATTATCTCAAATACTCCTTAAATATCTGCTAATAACTTCAAAACTATAGTTGTTACAAAGAACCAATTCATGATGATGTATGTCATCGGTAAAGGCGGCTTCGGAAGGGTCTGGAGAGTCCAAGAAGGCGATTGACAATACGCCATGAAAGAAATGTCCAAACAAAGAATTCTAGCTAAATAAAAGCGTGAACTCAGTCTTGAATGAAAGAAATCTCCTTTCCAAGCTCCACCATGACTTTATTGTAAACATGAAATATGCTTTTCAGGATAGGCATAATCTATACCTCGTAATGGACTACCTGGGCGGAGGTGACCTCAGATATCATATTTGTAAGCATAGAAGGTTCACCGAGCTTCAGACCAAGTTCTTCGCAGCTAACATCGTCCTTGGGTTAGAATACTGCCACAAGAACAGCATAATTCATCGTGACATCAAGCCTGAAAACATCGTTTTTGACAATGAGGGATATTTAAGAATAACTGACTTTGGAATCGCAAGAATTTGGAACCCAGAAAATAAAAAGGACACTAGTGGAACTCCAGGTTATATGGCTCCTGAAGTTATGTGTCGTCAAAATCATGGAGTCGCCGTTGATTATTTCGCCCTCGGAGTTATAGTATTTGAGTGCATCTTCGGATTTGTAAGTAATGACAAGCTTATTTGTGTAGAGACCCTACCGAGGAAAATCGAGGAAGGAGATTAGAGATCAAATCTTAGCTAAACAAATCAAGATCAGAAGACATGACATCCCTGAAGGATGGACTGCTGAAGCATGAGACTTCGCTAATAAGTTATTACAAAGGAAACCTGGGTCTCGCCTCGGCTATAATGGACCAGCTGATGTCAAATCTCACCCATGGTTCGATGGATTTCCTTGGGAAAAATTAAAATAAAAAGCAGTTGATAGCACCGTTTATCCCAGAAAGTACCGATAATTTTGACGTCAAGGTTACTAATGACGGTTGGAAAGATGAAGATACTGATAAAATGAAAGAAGCTAACTTGTTATTAAGAAGAGAAACTGTACAAGATCTATTCAAAGGCTATTATTACGACCAATCTTTTGAGAGCTTTGGGTATAATATAGAGGAGAAATATAGACCAGACCCTCGCATATTGCAACATAAAAGAGTTCCTGTCTCAAGAACTATGAAGCCATCCCCAGCTAGAAAAATGAGCTCAAGCCAGAGGAAGGTCACTCGAAGCAACAGCGGAGTTGGAAGATCGAGAACTAATTCGCAGCATAACAGCATCACTCCAGGGTCAACAGAAGAAAGAAAGAGTAATATTTAGTGGAACTTTCCAAAGATACAAACCTATTTCTCGCCCTGAAAGTGCGACTATGAGTAAAAATCATTCAAAGAATATTATGAAGCATAAGATCAGGTCCAGCGGTAGTGGAATTACTAAAATGGCACTTCCAAAAGGTCCTTTTCACTACAGAAATGAGTCGAAGAAGATCTCCCAGATATGATCAAGAAGCAGTACGAGAAGGTCAACAAAAGCAGGATTATCTTCCCAGCAATAGATAAGCTATTTTTGATTTTTTCAATTAAGCAATTGTGTAGGGGTTTTGGGGTTTTGGGGTTTTGGGGTTTTGGGG